ACAAACAAACAAACAAACCTCTGCATGGAGTCAGCGGTGGAGTGATATGTCGGGCTGGTGAATAAAAATTTGCTCGAGCACTATTTCACGGATCTTTCTCTGCACTGTCATAGAAAACAGGGAGATCAGAGGTGAAGGGGAAGGTAGCGAGTGAGTGAAAGAGAAAGCGAGGGGGAGCTGAGGGGAAGCACTTTGAGGGGAGGAAGAGATGAGGAGAGAGCGGGACGCAGACAGGACACACCATGACAGGAGAGGAAAGAATGTTTAAGGCGACTGAGAATGAGAGTGAGAGGAGCGGGAGGGAGAACCGGAGGAGAAAGCGGGAGCTCTGAGACAGGCCTGGGCTCTCCAGTGTATTAACACCAGTCTGAGATGAAGGAAGCAAGCAGGGTAGATGGAAAGAGTGTTTGCACAGTAAAAAGTTCCTTGTGCGTGGGTTGCTTACTTCCTGCTGTACACCCCACCACCCCTCCCGCCCCTCGTCTTCTCCTTCTCATACTCCTTCTGTGACCTGTTCCTTCAGCTCGCGATTTCCTCACTGGCAGACGCATAAATGCTTGGAAGCAGTGACAGTGAGCTGGGGAGGTGGTGAACGTGAGCAGGTGAGCAACACAGAGTCAGCGAGGGAGAGGGTTTCGGTTGAGTCTGCCCGCTACACATACATGCACATACACACACATACACTGTGTTTTGTCACATACCATAGAGTTTGGTTTCCAAACAAAATGACCCTTGTAAAAGTGTGCTTAATAGAGAGTTGATTTAAACGTTCTGGCTCCCCAACTTTCTGCCAGGGAGAGACGTCTGCTTCATGCTCTCCCTTTCATCACTGCATCCTGCCCTTTTGCACGGCTCTGTGAACTAAGCCAGCGGAGGAAACCTGCCATAATGATGCTGGTTAATATGCTCCTTTAATGGGCGAATAAAAAAGGCAAAGCAGTAGATGCACAACAGCCATATCTGTCTTGAGTGGGCTGCTCGAATGGAAAAGGAAGAGAGCAATTGACATGCGTAATTTGTAAATCGCGTCTGCAGGGAGTTTTCTCAAATAAGAGCTTGCCAGTGGCACAGAGATGTGGGGACTTGAAAGAAGCCCCTTCTGTCTGATAGCTGTTTTTTAAAAAAGCACAAGAGCACATTAAAGCTGATCTTTGACATGGACAAAGAAAGTCAGAGACGTCACTTTATAGCCCAATGACTGCAGCCCCCTTTCTGTGTGTCACTATTTCTCCTTTCCCCCCCAGAACTATTAGCACACTCACTCGCTCTCTGACGTAGGTTGAGGTACAGTAAGAGGGGTTAAGCGGAGGAAAGAAGCGGGATGGAGCAGTGATAGTGGTAGGTAGGATAGGATACCCCGCTGGAGTCCCCCAACTGGGAGCAAGCTGGAGAAAATGAATGAAGGACAGAATGGCGGAGGAAAGAGGAAGAAGACAGGAGGTTGAGGAGGTCACAGGGAAACTTGAAAGCGTACTGTTATAGGAGGGTAAATATTAACAGTAATGGGTCGGACATTTGGTTTCCCCTTTGAACGTAATCTCCGGGTTTGTTTTTTCAGGCCCCGTTGGAATTCCCAAGAGGAAATGAGGGTGCAACATAAAAATGGTGAATTTATTACTACTTCTTCTCCCATAATCCCTTTTACCATCGAAGCAGAGTTGCGTCACAGCCAGCGTCTTCACTGTTTACTTATGACACTGAAGCAAGCAGAACATGAGACGTAACCCTAAAATCCACAAAGACTACTTTTTCACCCACCTGGACCTGGATATTGACCCACGGCAATAAACATTTATGGGAAAACCAACATTAACAGAATGGGCTGATTTGGTATTTGTTCTCATAATCAAAGTACAACCACAAAGCACACTAAAGTAAACATTGAACAAAAAATCCCACATTACAAGATCTACTCTTCAAGCTCTTCCCTGTCAGTTTATTGCAGGATGTTACAAAAATACACACACTCCTGAATTTGATAGGTTTCTTTTTTTCTTTTTTAAATGACTAATGATTTGAGCAGCTGTGTGGATTAACAACGACGCAAAATGTGAGAGAAGTGAGCGAGGCATTCGAGTGATTCGAAGAAAGCATAGAAGTGCGAGTACATGTCATGGCGCACAGCAAACCCAGTGTAAAGTACGGGCGAAGTGAGAGAAGCTTGTGTGAGTAAAGTTTGTCTGGCAGCGAGGCAGGCTGGCAGGCTCTGTCACAGGTTCCCCTTCCTCTCTGATGTCTTTGAGGTCGTAGTCTGAGTGTCTCACTCTGTTTCTCCTCCTGTGGTGGTTTACACAGATTGGTGATGTAATGGGTAGCATATGAAGGCCACACACAAACACACTCTCACGCACAGACGCGCACGCAAACGCTCATGCACGTTATACAGACACCGCACTTGTACCACCGCATACCCATAATTACACACATATACTGTATGCACACCCATTTACACAAACCCTGGATTCCCCCTTTTCCAACATGCGCCGCTCTGTGCTCGCTCTCACACACGAAAAGCAAACGTCTAAACAAAGATACAGAGCTTTTTCTTTTTTTTTAAACTTTGCACACTGACATCGATGCACGTGTGCACACTCCCACGTGCACAAACGCACACAGACGCACTCCCTGTGTCATAGCGTGTGAGTGATCAGTGCTGGCGGATGGCCTAACAGTGCTTCAGAACCACCCAGGAGACCCCCATCATAAGAGGCAGCCCGGAGAGGGAATGAGGGAGAGTGACTAACTTCACTCTTTCTTTTCTTCTCTCCCCAGCTGTGTCTTCAAACGTCCCTTTGATGTGGAAAATTAAAAAGAGCGAGTGTGTCAATATCTCCCTACGTCCAACCGCACTCATCTATTTCTTCTGCTCCTTCCCCCTGCTCTCCTCCTTTCCCTGCTTTTTTTTTCTACTGTTGACCTGAGAAAACAGAGCATGACCCTTTTTCACCACAACAACTCCGCCACCCACTCGTTGCCACCGGGCCCTCATCATTTGGAGGGTGTTTGTTTGTCTGTGTAGGCCCACCGCTGGACTGGCAACTCTGTGTGTATATGTGCATGAGTGTGCAAGTGTGCGCATACAAAGCCCACCACTAATTATTTTCTAACCACACCATGAGTGTATGTCTGTGAATGAGGGTCTCCTAATCTCACACCCAGACTCAAAAACGCTTTCTTCCTTTTCCCCGCTCTCTCTCCCGTCTCTCCTTCCTTCTCTCGCGTTCTCCCTTTTTTTTCCTCCCTTTGTGTATGTCTGAGTGAGATTCCCTTGTGATTTACTTTACAGTGTGTGTACAGTATGATGCATTAGCTGTCCCAAATGTGATGACTGGAAACTCATTTTTGCCCTTTTGCAACAGTGGGCCACGCTTTACTGCACCTGACTGAGTGTTTCCAGGCTGCCCCGCTCTCTGTGAGTG